AGATGGATTCGATAGGGAGAGGTCGTTCGAAAGTTGAAACAGATGCTGCAGTCCTTGCGGTGTGATAATGCTCATAAGTGTACCATTTCTGACTAGGGCATTCAGAAGCTCGTGAAATAGTGTTGAGAGAATCCCTGAATGCTTCATGGTGACTGCTGCCCGCTCCCGTAGCTTTGTTCCGAGTTGATAGATTGCGAATGGTAGATCGCGGTAATTGCCTATCTCCTTTGCAATGGCAAGGCGAGTCGGAGATGTTTGCCCTGCGCGAAAAGGAACTCGCTTGAAAGAGGTGTCCCATACTGAAGCAGCAGTGTTCCAGAGCTGGTTTGAGACAGCATGCAATAAGAGGAATACACTGCAGCCCTGTTGCATATTCCGTTGGGTGGCGCGAGCATTGATTCTCAAAGCTATACGGTAGTTGCCAGCGATTAATGCGCATCGAACAGCCCGCTCATAATCATCTCGGGTCCTGTGCTCTTCGTCGATCAGTCTGAAGGCACTTAGAGCGAGACTCTGGTCCCGCCTCCTGCTCGACTTGGAAAGGAAATGGAAGACTTCAGGTGCGTAAGCTTGCTGGTTCGGAATCTGGTTGAACAAGGCCCAAGCACGGTCAAAATGGGCGCTTTGCGACTCTGCCTGCACATCCTTATTGATATCAAGAATATGTAAGAGGTGTTTTTCTGCTTCACTGATGGCCTGAATGGAGTGTTCGTTCCATGCCTCTTCATGCGCGTCTGCGGTAACCGCACCATTGTCGCTTTCTCTTGCAGCGTCCTCAATTATATGTCTTGGAAGATCCGATTGTGGGTAGCGAATAAGTACATCTCCCAAATGCTCCTCTTCCCTGACAGCTACGGCAACAGCTTTCTGCGAGGACTTCGTGGATCTAGTATAGGTTCGAGAGGATGAGGATTGAGGACCGGCAGAATATCGATCGGATGTTGAGGTTCGTACTCGCGATCGACGAGGGATCTCGAAGAGATCGTTTAGCGAGGACTGTCTCGGGGATGGTAGAGCGGACTCGCCGCCAGGTGGATTTGGACGAAGAGCGCGGATGCTGTTGAGGTACAATGGCCACCAGTGAGGGACATCCAGCTGGTTGCCTCCATTTTTCCAGAAAGAGGGACCAAGCGCACGGTGTGTGCGAACAGGAGGCTCGAGGCGTCGGAGAAAGAGTTGGGAAGCTGGTTCAATGCATGCTGCAGTACGCTCTATCATGCCACGATCGAGACAGTCGACGTATGGTCTAGCACAAGATGAAAATTGCTAACTGTGGTGACGGACTGTCTTTCTGACATATAGAGATACGTGGGAAAGTCACAGAAATGACAACGCGAAGGGAGAGGGTGAGATGGAAAGCCAATGTGAAGCGACAATATGTATCAGGTGAGAGAAAAGTCGAAGGGTAATAATAATAAACGAAGTGTACGAGGCATCTGAGCCTGCGTTGGATGGTAGCTCGCTAACGCCGCTTGCGCCGCAGCACCGCTACTAACTGCACACATTGGAATTATCCCCACATTTATGTCTGCCCTCACTTCTCGGTTGCGCTGTGATAATTCTGGCTTCTTCCGCAACCAGCTCTTGCTCGACTGGCTTCCACCATGGATATCACCAGATCGATCGTCTCCGAGCGCGAGCGGGCTTTGCTAGGAGGGGACTATGATGCCTATCATGCGCAAGCCACCCGCAAAATCCACAACCTCCGCAGGCGACTCGGTGCCGCAACTCGGGGAAGAAAATACACTCCCAAAGCTCCAGTGACCGCAGAAAATGTGGCCAAAAACGCAGAGTAAGAGCATCATTTCACGAACAGAACTGGTCGACTGACTGTGTTTGAAGATGGGTGCAACTGCTTCTAGCCAGCTCCGAACGGGCATGGGCGTCTTCGATGGCCATGAAATCGGCCCAGTCGGCAGAGAACACTCAGAAGCCCATGCCTGGTTCCACGAAAAAACAAATTGCTTCCAGGCTCCGAAGAGCCATCACCTACGCCGATAACCTTGTGACTGTTCTGCAAGATCGCAGCACGACTGGTGCACAAGCGATAGACGAACTCGAAGCACGTGCTTATCTCGCCATGTTAAGAGGAAGTCTGCATTTTGAGAAGGGAAGATGGCAGGAATGTATTCAACATTACTCCATCGCCCAGGTTGTGTACACGACATTAGCACGCTCATCGAAGACGGACACGTACAAAGAATTGTTATCGGGCATCGTGGACCCCAGCATTCGTTATGCCGCATATCAGATGAAGATGCCCCGCACCAGGACCATCAATGATATCGTCATTGAGAACTTTCCCAAGAGTGAAGCTGCTGTCAGGAGCACAGTCGAAGACATTAATCCACAGGCATTCTCGACAGGAACTGAGGCGGCTCCCACCAAAGGAGGACCTAAGGAAATCCCCTCTACAATTTCTTGGAGGAGTAGGAAAGTCAATCTGGAAGACGCCAATATATCTCAAGCCCTTGGTTTCTCTAAAGAACGGGAAGACGAGTTGGACAGCACCTACAAATCCTTCAAAGATGGATCTGTAAGTGCCAAAGACCTAGCAACCGCATACGAAGAAGTCATCACGGCCCGTCAGGATGCCGCCGATGCCACGAAGACCGCTATCGACGAGCTGATTGCCGAAGGTGTTGACACTGGTGATTCTCGGCTGCAGTCTTTGCAAATTACCCGTACGGCCGTCAACTATGCCGTGATCGAATGGCGGATTGGGCGCAATAGAATCCTCTGTGGTGCTAATGACGATGGTCTGGCCTTTGAACCCGAGAAGCCGACCAAGAGCTTGAAGCCACGCAAGGACGGCAAACCTCGCGCGCCCAAGGAGGAGAGTTCGGGCCGCAAGCTATCGAGGCTGCGCGAGAGGGTTGCTCTGTACGACTCGATTCTGCAGAGTCTCGACGCTGTCAAGGAACTACCCGGTGTCATTGCGGACAGTGCTTTTGTGGATGAGCTTGATGCAAAACGAGCATACTTCCGTGCCTTGAAGTGTTTGGCTGTTGGCCGCTCACATGCGATCAGTGACCATATACCAAATGCGCTGGCCTTGTATGCTCGAGCACTTGAGTTGGCGGAAGCAGCCACAGCTACATTGAAAGCAGCGTCCGCTGACCACAGTTCTGCACCACCAAAGCTCGACTTATCCATCCAGCATCTCACGCACACCACCGCCACCCTCAGCAAACTGGTCACCCAATTCCGCGCTCTAGCTGACCTCGAATCCCTCGCCAGAACAAGTCGGCCAACCCCGAAAGACACGGCCCAAGCAACCGCAATTAAACCTGCACCTCTCATCGAGCGTCTTTCACACAACGAATACATCCCAAACGTAGACCTAACCAATCTCGTCAACTATCCTCCCAAACTCCGCCCGGTCCCCGTCAAACCACTCTTCTTTGATCTGGCATGGAACTACATCAAGTACCCAGGCGAAAAGGGACCCGAAGCCGAAGTCGGAGGAGCCGAGGACGTACAGATGGGAGGAATCGGGGAAGAAGTTAATGGAAAAGTCGACAAGAGCGAAGAGCAGCAGAAACCCGCGGCGAGAAAGGGATGGTTTGGATTTGGACGCTAAGGGTGTGCGTTGCGCATGGCAAATACTCCTGCAAGGATGATGCAGAGTTACACCTCGAGGCCGAAGCGATTCACGCACCTCTCAGCTGGGCAAGGGATGCATTCAATCGAGCGCCCGACCAGTAGGCAGGGATAGGGACAGGGATGGACAGAGTCAGAGCGACGGTGGCAATGGCAATGAAAGTGACAACGACAGAGACAGTGAACCACGACAAGGATGACGCTAAAGTGTTGATGAGTGCTGAATTGGATCGCGCGCGATAGTGAGCGTGATAATGATAGGATAGCTTACACTGATCGAGCCTCGACTCAAATCCAGAATCTGGAACCCAGAAGGCGATGAGTGATGGATGACGGATATACCGATTACTCTAATTAACTTCGATCAGACACTTACTTTATCTCCTCTCGGTGGGCAGGAAGACACGACAATGTGTATGTATGTAGACGAAACAAATCTGGGAACACATATACCTACGTAGCTACCTAGTATGTAGGTAGTATGTACTCGGTACATGAAACAGAAACCAAAGGATCCCTCCCTGCCTGCAGCCCTCTGGCTGATGGTGGTGGCGCGCGCCAGGGGCTTTGAAACCCGACGGGCGAACCGGACGGGACATGTACCCAGGATGCCAGGATGCCAGGTCGTCTGTACCGAGTCCTCCGTACCAGGTACCAGATACAGAAATGAGGCAGAAGATACGTACCTACCTACCCTAACATACCACATGACCACCATATACCACCACATGAACCTTACAATACATGTATGCGAACTTGTCGTCTTATCTCGACTTTGTCTCATCTCATGTCATCTCGTATCCCCTCTTCCCGGATAATATCATTCGCACTCGAGGTCCCTCTTCGTCTCGCCTAGCCCGGCCTCGCCTCTCTCCGCTTCGCTTCTTTTCATTCCATTCCATTTCGTCATACGAAGTATTTCCTGACACGTGGCATTGCCAGGGCGAGATTCACTCGTCATAAACACACAAGGTAATGAAGAAAAGGGTTTCAGGGTACGAGGGTGGAAAAAAAGAAAAAAGAAAAACCCCCGAGCAGATGGGTGCAGTGTCCGTTTCGTTGGGTGCGGCCAACCGGTCGGTCACTCGGTCACTTGGTCGGGATCCCTGTCCAGCTGAAAACCATCATCAGCACAGACCAGCGCACAACCGCACCACACCACACCCACAAATCACGACGACAAGTTTTTTAACTCGTATGCTGCTGCTAGGTGGTCTCCCAGCCTCACGGCTACTTCCACCCATTCCAGATCTGCAATGCAAACGGGATTCGGGGGCATCGCCGTGGTCCACTGGTGGATTATAATTAATCTCTGTAGGTATACCATCTGCAAAAGACGCCTCGCTAGCAGAGGCGTTGATAGCCTGACAATTCCCAAAAAGGGCCTATTCCAAAGCTCAAACAAGTGTTGATCCAACCCAGAATCCACCCACCCCGTTGGTCCATTCAAAAGAGCTTCCATTCGTGTTCCATGTGCGGGGTATATCTAACTTTTTGCATCTTTGGCGCTTGATCCGGTCCAGCCGAAGTCCCATTTGGACCACGCCAAACTTACCAAGACCTCTTGCAATGACTATCGTCGCCGCGTTGCCACGTTGACAGTTCCACGAAGGGATCCCGTCTGGAATTGGGGACAGATCTGCAGAGGAGTTGTCGTCTATTCAATGGTAGCCGAAGTCGCCGAACCCGCCGAGCGACAGTCTTTCAGCTCCAAGGTCATCATTCGGTAGGAGTCGTGGCTTGAGAGTTCGACGCTCAACGCCTTCCCTCAAACGTCAATGTCCTTCGCCTCCAGACAATTCGTGCATCTTGTCCATCACAGAAATGCTCCGTGCCATCAAATTTGCAGTCCTGACGGAGCAAGCCGCCCTGTTGCGAAGGCTGTGGGTAAGAATGTCGTCTCCACGAGGAGTCGGGCTCGTCATAGATGCTGCGTGTTTCGTCACTTGGGCCTGCATTTGCCATAGCACCCAATTTTCGACCCCTGGCTCTCACTTCAAAGTCCACCTTTCTCGCGTTCGCAGCTTTTGCCGCAGATGCCAGATACCCACTTGTGACTGGACCTGACCGCATCGGTGAAGAGTCGTGAACAGTATGAGAGGATCCCGTCAAAGGCACCATTGATCGAGTCAAATGTTGATCTGAATGTGTTGAACCCTGGTCTTTCGGATCCGACTCTAGGGCGTGTTCTCTGAGGTCTGACCGCTGACCTTGATTCCGGGTCTGTCGGAAGAGGATGAGGATGCAAAGAAGAATGCAAAAAGAAAGCGCATAGATGGTATGGATGAGAAGACATTCCAGATTGGTCGGTTGGCTGGGATCGACCTGGTGTGGTGCCATTACTGTAGAGCGTGAGAATGCTTCATCTGAAGCACTCGAGAAAGGCATTTTTGCTGGTGCCGTGATATACCATCAACGTAGTCGAGACGAGGGAGACGAGCACAGACAGGACATTGACCAAAAAGACCTACCATCTAGAGACTTGCCGAGCAGTGCACTTTATATCACTGGATCTCGTGCATCCTTTTTTCGTCGGATACGGGCTGTGTGACTTCGCACAGACACGAGGGCAAAAGTATGGCACCAATGGGGCGAACCGTCGAATATAGTGCTATGCGACAGATCTAGATCCCGGGAACTTGCTGCTGTAGCTTGGACCAAATGGATAGCAGTCTTCCCCATGCACCAGGTCAAGGTTGGAGCATGGCTGGCTGGCTTGTTGGGCGGGACGGTTGGAGAAAGCATACTCGGTACTGGAAACGCCCTGAGGCATAGAGGCAGGCAGACTGTCGGCAAAGGGGGGACAATCTCCGTGATGGGCGCGCCATCGTGTGGTCATCAGACATGGGGAAATTGACAAAATCAGCCATAAAGTTGCAGTCCGATGATGCAAATGGTGTGAGAGGGAAGACCCAAGAAAAAGAAAACGGTGAAGCTCAGCTTGGATGAGCAGACGCCGCTGGGACAGGGATGATGGTGGGGAAAGGCTTTGACCAGGTCGATAACCGAAGCTGGTGGTAGAGTTTCGAGTTCAGCTCGCCTGATAAACGCCCCTTTTCGGGCTTGAGGTGGAGGTCACAGCGCGGCTAGGAGGTTGGGCGGACACGGCTGTCCCACCCACAGCCTGTGTCATGATCAGTGCAAGGCCTGTCTTGCCTGTCAAACCTTGACGTTAATCAAGGAGTTGGCCTTACGTGTAATGAAGATACGAGGTCAGGAGTGAGCGAGGAGTGTGCGTCAAGCTGTGAGAGGACAAAATTTTGATGAGATTGGCGACCACAGCTGGAGTGGAAGAGGAAGAGGAAGAGGAAGAAGCACAACATGAGGCGCAGGCAAAAGGCCAAGAATGTGTTTGACGGACATTTGACAGAAACAGACAGACGGCTTGCTGCTTTTAGCCACCGTGTGGTAGCATTATGGCCTAGACTACCTGATGTACGTGACTCTTCGCCCAACGCTTTCCTTGTATGATTGAATCCTCAGGTGGAGAAAACCAAAGCCACGTTGTCAGCTCTGGGGAGTACATACACAACTGTTCTGGACATCTGCTCGGCATTTCGCAAACATAAACCTCCGTGTCGTAACTACGTAGGCACCCCGGGTCCCGAATACCTATACTATATATAGCTAAACAATGAAGAGACAGGCCACGGTCTAAACACCAGAAAAACGGAAGGAATATCGCTACTAGTTAGCCCCATCATATAGTATGTCATAAGGGGAAGGAGACTCCTGACATTAGACTCGTTCCTCTCACAACGCCCAGCACTCCACCAATCCGCTAGAACCCAAACCCCAGAGATCAGAAGTCAGAAAGGCCAAATGCCATGTGCTCAAAGAAGCAGACTACACCTTCTCGAGCGACCCGCTGTGTGTCAGAGTCTATCCATCACCTCATCCGGGAACCTTCATCACCTTTTCCTCGTGGCTCATGGTTTGGCGCGGCTGGGAACGATCGGCTTCGCCACTGTTTCTCCGCGATGTGCTCTGGACTAGCTTTTTCAGCACGTCTGGAGCATCTTCCCGGTCCATAATCACCTCGACAATGTTGAGGCCTCTACCTGCTTGAAGTCCAGGCTCGGCCAAAATCTCCTGCAACTGACCCCAAGTTTCAGCTCGCCGGGTCACCACAGGATATGCAGGGTCGTCCTTAGGCGCCCCAAAATACGATGGTGCTTCGAGATATCTCCATGGTTGAATGTCATTGTATCCCGCCCTCATGCCATGGATCCATCTCTCAATCACGTATCCGTCATTATTGATGACGAAGATGGTCACATCAATACGGTTCCGAATCATGTCGCTGATAGACTGCGCCGTCATTTGCAGACTGCCATCGCCTTCGATGAGAATAGTCCGTCCTTTACGGCGCTTACCTTCTGCAACCAGTTCTCGCTGGGCCAAAGCGGCGCCTTGAGCTGCTGGCAGCATGTAGCCGATCGACAGCCATATACAAGAATTAATGAGAGAGGTATGCGCGGGGAGCACCATATCGCGGCAACCTACTGACGCTGTGCCGGTCTCCACCATAACGATGTCACCAGACCGGAAAAAGCTGGAGATTCGCTGCCAGAAGGTAGCCTGATCAATCGTATCGTTCTCGTCGGCTGCGGGGAGCGCCATCAGCTGGAACTGTGGATGCCCTAGGTCCATAGACGGGTGGTACTTGGGGAGCTTGTCCTTCTCCAGCTTTGAGAGGATTTTTCGCAGGAGAGATTTGATGTGAAGGTTGTTATATTTGGTACCACCGATCTCGACGTAGTCCCGGTGGAAAACGATGGCCGACTTCGGGTCTGGGATGGTGCTGAACCCAAAAGTGTTGACATCGCTCTCCAAGGGTCCCAGTTTGATGACCAAGTCACAGCCTCGTGCCCAGGGCATGTAGATCTCATTGCCCGCAATACCAGCGTAAATCCCATAGAAGTTGGGATACGTCTCGTTGACAATGCCCTTGCCGAAAGGGGTAGTCGAAGTTGGAAACTCGGTTACTCGCACGAGCTCATCTGCTTCCTGACTGACACCGTACCTTGATGTACACCCATCCACGATGATCAAAGGCTGTTTGGAAGAATACATTTTATTGAGGATGAGCTCGACCTCGGTGTCTTCGAAGCCTTCGTCATTTGGCGAGATTGAAAGGTCAATGGGTACATCGAGGGCCGCTGACGGTATCTGGGCCTTCACCATGTTGGTTGGTAACTCGAGGTAAACTGGTCGACTCTGGAGGACACATTCTCTAATGCACCGATCTATCTGCGCCGGTGCGGAACCCGGGTCTCTCAGATTGGCCTGGGCCACGGTGATCTTTGCGTACATGTCGGCAAAGATTCTGAAGTTGCCATCTCCCAGCGAATGATGCATGCACAAGCGGTTGTCCTGCACGTTGGTAGGGGCCGTGCCTACAATGTGTATGACTGGTGCCACTGGTGGCTAATGTCAGCATAGATCCTAGTGCCTAAATGGGTAGGGACACATACTTTCGCTGTATGCTCCGGCAATGGCGTTAATGGCTGATAGCTCGCCGACCCCAAAGGCAGTGACAAGCGCTGACACTCCTCTGATCCTGGCATAGCCATCTGCAGCATACCCAGCATTAAGTTCGTTGGCGTTTCCGACCCAGTCCAGGCCGGCTGGTTCAATGTAATCCAGAGCAGTCAAGTTGTAGTCTCCAGGAACACCATGAACTGACTTGATTCCAACCTGGCGAATCCTCCGGAAGAGGTATTCAGCCAAGTCGATGTGGGAAGCCATGACTCTATGATTCAGTGGCTGAGGTATGGCGAGGCTAAGTCACGGGAGATTGGAGGGCACGAAACAATCAGGCGAGAACGGAATCGCAAAAGAAAACTGGCTCTCGTAGACCAGGAATAGAGTTAATTATATAGGATAAACCGGGAGAACTTATCTTGTATTCCCCCGGAGAGGACGGGGTTCTTAAATGCGTGGATTAGGTCAGATACTACCGCAGCAGTTGAGCCGATGAAACCTTTGGACGCATCAACACAGCAAGAACCGGCTCCCCATGAGAAGGATGAGATGATGTCGTCAAGGACAAGGAAAGGAGGAGAACAACAGACTCCAGTAGTCGTCCATGGGGCGGAATAAACTCCAACCCACGCGGCTGTCTGCGGCTGTCGTCGGCCAAATGCGGAATCATGCCGAGAGCCGGAACAATGCATTCGTTAAGGCATTGACCTTTCAAATGCATCGAATCTGGTGGTGGACACGAGGGGATGTTAAAAGAACCAGTCAGCTGAGCGTCCCGGGAGATCCTTCCAAAGGCTATAATGCTGTCGTATCAGCACGTAGTCGGGTTGTTGGCTGCATGAGAGTCGCTTGTTGGTGGACGATAGGAAGCACCGCAACGTTGAGAGATTTCGAATCCTTCAAACACCTTGCACTCGACTTATCCGGCCGTATCCTAGAGCAAACACACCCCTGGATGGAAAGTCCGGACGGACTTAGGGTACATCAAGTCCCTTCCCGTCCCTACCGACTACTCCTCCCGTGCTCGTGCATCTTCGACAGCTTTTTGCCAGTCGGTCAGCCGCATGTACGTGGCCATGATGATTGTTGCGCATCCGAGTCCTGTACATGGGCCAATCCACATGCCACCCAAGCCCATCTGAGGCGGACCAAAACACAAGAAGAATGACAACGGAAGAGCGAATAGATAGTAGACCCCCAGATTGACCCAACCACCGACCTTTTGTCTCCCAAGTCCACGCAAAAGAGCATTTGAGATAGCAAGGAGTGCGTCAAAGAATTGGGCGGCTGCGGTTATTGGCATGACGGAGGCGATGATTGCCCTCACCGCGTCGTCCGTGGTGAAAATAGCTGCGATGACATGTCGACAAGATGTCAGCAAGATGACATCAAATATCCCAATGCACATGAAGATCAGATAGTGCGTCTTCCAAGCCTTCCGCGCAGCATTTAACGCTCCATATCCGATGAGATTGCCGAATCTTGTCGACGCTGCGATCGAGATGGGAAATGGGATATGATACATGGTCACAACCACCGTCATTAAAACAGACTGAGCAGCAAGGTCTGGCTCACTCAGATATCCAGCTGCAATTGTAAGAATGTCAAAGGCGAACCATTCTGAAAAGGTCATGAGGACGCCTGGGACGGCCAATTTGATCATGGGACCCCAGTTTTGGCATGCTCGTCGCAAGTCCAAGCCTGGCCAACATTGTAGGTTTGAGGGGGCAATGTAGGCGACATACAGAGCTAGAACAATCGGCTGAAGGTTATTGGATATGACCACGGCCCAAGCAGCACCTGCAAAGCCCAGGTGGAAATGAAACACCAGGAGCCAGTTCCAAAGGATGTTCAGAGGAGCACAGACCAAAACAACCACGAGCGAGGCAGTAAAATCGCCC